ATTTTGTTTCTATTTATTTGTTATTTATAAATTTTAAGATAATATTAATTACTATATTATCAATTATATCCTTATTTTTTACTTAAATTTTAATTAATTTACACATGATAACTAATATATATTTATTGTGAAACAAAAATAAAAGAGGATTTAATAGAAAACTTCATTATTATTCTATAGAAAATAAAAATATTGTTATGTTTAATGGTACGTGTAAAATAATCTTAAACGATTATTACAAAAGAAATGAGGTAGTAATATTTATTTGTTTTAATTAAAATGAATTGCAGTTATCTCCAAATATAGATACATTTTAAAACACAAATTGTAAAATATATACTGTATAAGGTAAGATTTTATAAATTATAAGAGTTATGCACAACAAATCTAAATAATAATAATGGACTATGTTTTGATTGTTTCAATATTCAATGAATTATTTCAACAAAAAAGTAAGTTAGACTAAATTAGTTTTAATATATTTTATTATTTCAAATTTAATACCTTTTAATTTAAATAAAGTAAACGTTGATACAATATAAAACTGTTAATTTATTTATAAAAAGTTATTTATGATAAATTTTAAAATTACACTGCTAGAGAGAATAAAATTTCAAATTATATAAAAAGATATATTATAATGAAACCCATATAATAGTAATAATTAAAAAATAGTTGAAAAGCTGAAAAATATATATACTATACCAACTTAAATATATTTTTAGTCTATGTAAAATTAATGAGTAATTTTTAATTTTAGTCTTTTGCAGTTTTTTGTTTTTCATCACTTTAAATTTAAAAATCATTAGTTTTAATTCTTGTATATTGAATACATTTTTTTTAAATTTTGGTTTCTATAAAATGTTTTTTTTTTAATTTTATAATTTTTATCTGGTCTAAAATTTGAAATTATCATTCTCTGTTAGCCAATAATTATTTTAAGATAAATAAATAAAATTTATCTTAGGATTTATAAATTTTGTAAGAGGTGTCATATATATGTTAACATAGTAACGTAGACATTAATAAGTGTGACTTGTGAAGTTGCAACAATGATCAATTAACTTTTTAGTTAAACACATGTATACTATACAAATAGTATGACCAAAAACAATAATCTTATATTTTGAGAGATAAAAATAATCATTCTTGTACTATCTGTATTGTGAAGCCGAGCTCCGAGCTCGGCATCACAGCGCAGGACGACTTCGGACACGCGCTGTGTGACGTCAGCTCGTCATCCTAATCAGATCATAACTGATCTCGGGCCCAAGGCCCAACAAAACCCTAATACACACAAAGGTACGTGCATTACTTATACGAGACTCATACACCCACAAACACTAACTTTAGCATCGGAGTCTCTTTGCAGGTACCACCCCCATCTTGGAGCAACAAGCGTACCCGTGAAGGAGGCTCACCAATCTTACTCGGCGGATCACCTCTACGGCAGATTTCCGGTAAGAACATTTGGCGCCCACCGTGGGGCCGATTAAGACAGCTCTTAGCGGCCATGCTTATGGTATTCACCAGAAGCCATAGCAGACGCGCAACAGACGACACAAATCACTCAACTACCATGGACAACGAAGCCACATTGAGGAGACTGATTGACCAGGTCAAACAGATGCGGCAGCAACACGACGCCGATCTGCGAAACATGCGTGCCCAGTACGAAACCGACCTAGTGGTGATGCGGACCGCCAATGAAGCTGATCTAGCGGCGGTAAGCGCTGAAAACGAGCGGATTCACGCCCAGCTCCCTCGGTGCCCCTCTGATCATCCTCTTTCGGCGAGCAACCTCCACGAGGAAGAAGGGCACTCGGTCTCTCAGCCCCGAACTACGACTAGGGCACCGACTCCACGACTTGCCGCGCACTGGTCTCATGTTCCGACGAACAAGTCGGTCCATGAAGTCAGCAATTATATAAAATTGATGTAGTAGTATAAGATTATTTTGTTTAAGATTTAATTCATTATTCGTTATTTAGGGGTAAACGGTATTTATTATTTAAATTCTATGTACGTATTTGTTGATTGTGTATATTTTCAGAATGTCTCGTAAAAGAGTTAATCCGGGACCCATTGATGATTCTTTATTGACTATGCAATCAATTCACGTGTCTGAGCACGTATGGAATGGTGAGGCTGATAGAGTTCTTCGTATTAGAAGAGCTACCAAAAGTGGTCATCGAGATGGGTCAATTCCTGACGAATTAAGACCTTATCTTGCACGAGCAGGGATGCTTGGAGTGGCTGAAATCTCATACTTTCCTATTGACCACCAGTTAATTTCAGCATTAGTTGAGAGATGGAGGCCAGAGACACCCACTTTTCACATGACATTTGGAGAGTGTACAATTACATTGGAAGATGTTTCAGTTTTGTTAGGTCTAAAGGTACATGGAGACCCAATTACTGGTATTTCGACATATAATTGGGTCCCACTTGTTCAAGATTTGTTTGGAATAACACCACCAGCAAATGCAATTAAAGGTGGAAGGCTGAAGATGAGCTGGGTTGATGAACATTTTTTTGATATTTCGATGCATGTGCATAACATTGAACAAATGGAACGATACACCTGAGCTTATATATTGCAGTTGCTTGGAGGTATGCTTTTCTGTGACAAGTCTTAAACTCTAGTACCGATGCGATATTTGGTCATGTTAATAAATTTAGACCAATGTGGGCAACTTAGTTGGGGATCAGCCTTACTTGCTCATTTATATAGAGAACTGTGTGTTGCTACTAATTATGACAATAAATAAATTAGCGGGGCATGCATTTTACTACAATTGTGGGCATAGTATCGGATGCCGTATTTTGCACCCTTCACGGCACCACGAAATATTTTTTGTGTTCCTTTAGGTGCAAGGTAATATTTTAATTTAAATTGCGTTATTAAATATTAGATTTAACATGAGACAAATAATTTTAATTAACTTGTTAATTTTTGATATTTTTAGGTGGAATAGTGCCTTGCAGGTTACACAAAGAAGTGTTGTTCAGATTCGCGATGCGTTAGATAAGATGAAAGATAAAGATGTACATTAAGAGTTGTTATTCATTACAAATTAAAAGTGGATATCTTCAAATTAGTATTCATTCATTTATGACTTTTTGTGTTTTTTGTTTGCAGTTTGTTTGGCAGTCATACCATCCATATTTGCATTCTCTACCACCATATTGTGTAGAGAACACAAATATTTGGAGGGCGGTAGATATATTTGTGCCATCACATGACCCCCCTACAGGTAGTTATTATGCTTATCCAATGACACCATCAGGGGGTTATAGTCAGTATGTTTATACTTCAGGTGATACTACTGGAGAAAGTCCTACTTCTGCTGCTTATGTTTCATCTCCATTTGATACACATTTACCACCTTCATCTGGTACCTATGTTCCTTCTCAATCAACACAGACTCCAGATCCTTATACGAGCAACATGATGACCCCGTCAGCACCTTATTATCCATTTAGATATGGCGGGGATGATATGCATGGTACTTCTTTTGGAGGATCTTCTGTTCGACAAGGTACTTCTATTGGACAGTCTGGTTTTGGACAGTATGGATTTGGACAACCTACTTCTGTTGGACAGTTTGTTTTTCAACAACCAGGTTTTGGACAATCTACTTCTTTTGGACAGTCTGGTTTTCAACAGCAAGGTTTTGGACAACCGACGCTTGTTACAGAAGAGGTAGAAGAGGAGGACCCTGTAAGAAGGAACCCAGATCTGGATGCTAGGCATCGTGGTCGTCAATGTATTTTGTCACCTCATGATCCGACAAATCCACGATGGAGGCGTAGGAGATGATTAATTTGTTTATGATATATTTTTGTTTTTTTAGGACTTTGAATTATGTAATGAATTATAATTTTTAATCCATGTTTAGTCATTATTGTGTTTAATAATCATGCACCAATGATTTAAAATAATTCATACTTAATTAGAAAAAAAAATAATTACTTAAAATACTAATAATTACTTAGTTACATCAATTTCAATATAAAAAAACATAAAAAAAAATTTAAAATAAATTTTTAATCCTTTAACTTTTAAAAAATTTAATTTGTAGTCTTTAAATATTTTGTTAGCTTTTCATCTTTCATTAATTTTTGTCACATAAATTTATCATTAATTTTCATCTTTTCTATTAAGTGATGTTCTTACCGGAGATGGTCGTGAAGGAAGATCTACTGGGCAAGATTGATGAGCCTTCCTTGTTGGGTACATCCGCTGCTCCGAAGTGAGGGTGGTACCTGCAAAAGAGACTCTGATGCTAAAGTTAGTCTTTGATAGTGTAATCGTCTCATATATAATGCACGTACCTTGATGTGAATTAGGGTTTTCCTTTTAGGTAAGGGTAACGTTGATTTGGGCCTGAGGTTGACCTTGGCCGGATAGATAGTGGGCCTTTGCTCTGGCCGATGTCATGTGGCGTAAATTCAATTTCGTTTAGTGCTTTAGTGTCGACCTCAAGCTCAGCTTCTCGACGCGGATAGTACACTATCCCTAGATTTTCTTATAAGGAGTAAAAACAAAAACTCACTCAATTTTTATAAGAATTAATATTATATTATAAAGAGCCATTTACTTAATTTAATAATCTATATTTTATGTCAAATTTTAACAATTTAATTATTAAATTAAAAGTTTTTAATATATAATTTATAAATTTTTTAAAAATATTAAAATTATTTAATATTTTTTATATATTTAAATTAACAGATAATTATAAAAATATTTTATATATTTATTTGAATCTATTAATGCATAGTATATATTAAGTTAAAGAAAAGGTCAAAATAATTATGAGCTAACGATAAATTATGTGAGCAGAAGAAAAGGTCAAGCAAATAATTTTGTTTTTTTCAATGCGTAAAAAATAATAATTTTGGCTTCTTGTCTCTTTATATACATTGGTACAAGATTTAAATTGTTTATTATTATTTTGAACGTAACCATAAATTTGAGTTTCTCTGAGAGCGAAATCCAGAGAGACGTTGGTATGTCATGTGGCATTTGACACTTGAATTTGGATTTGGAATTGGAACAGAGAGAGAAACAGATGCTCAGTGTGACAAACCTTTTCCCAAAAAGCCACATTGTTCTTCATTCTTTCGTCTTTTCCATGATGCTGTGCCCACAGCAACCTCAACGGTCGCTTCATACACGATAATCTATAAAACCCACCTCCCACGTACCTTGTGGCTTTCAAACTCGTTCACTGTTACTGCAAAAACTGTGACTGTCGCTATGTTGGAACATGTTGGAGGAGAGTGAGTCATTACTTTGGTGATTTTCGTTCAAAAAAATAAAGGCTTTGCTGTTGAGGGGAGGTTGTGCAAGATGGAGTCTTTATGCAACAAGGGTGAGCATTTTGAAAAGAAAAAAGATGGGTTTCCTCCTTCTGCTTCTGCCGGTAACGGAGCTAAGAACAAGTCTAGTGATCCAACTCAAGAAGCCAAAGGGTGTTCTTCTCCTCCTCTTGGTTGGCCTATTCGGAAGGCTGCACTCTCCAAATGCCGCAAGTCAGATGAAAAAGAAAATGAACCTATTTCTCATTTGGAAGATACAAAATTTACTAGCATCAGTTCAAAAATGTCAGGTAAGTTAGAAGTAGAAATTTGGAATACAACATACTTGGCAAATTTTGAATTTTGATGCTTCTATGAAGTTTGGAAAAAGAAGAGTGTTAATTACCTGTTATTAGTATTTTTTTTAAAAAACTAAACACTTTTGTGGGTTTAGTTATTAGTATTTATTATTTGGTTGTTGTCTAATTACTGGGAAATAATGTTGGATCAGGAATTGATGCGATGAAGGAAAGGTTTGCAAAATTACTACTTGGGGAAGATATGTCAGGATCTGGGAAGGGAGTGTGCAGTGCTCTGGCCATCTCAAATGCCATAACTAATCTGTGTGGTATGTTTTCTTTGTAACACATGTATTGAAGAAGTGTTACCTTTTCTGGATTGGATTTTTTTTCAGATTCCTGTTATGGTTTGAATTTAATGTTGTTAACTAATAATGATGTTTTGGATTCTGATTTCATGCAACATGTAGCCACTGTGTTTGGGCAATTATGGAGACTAGAACCTGTGCCTTGTGAAAAGAAAGCAATATGGCAGAGGGAAATGGAATGGCTTCTTAGTGTTAGTGATCACATTGTTGAGCTAATACCTTCTTGGCAAACATTTCCAGATGGAAGTAAGCTTGAGGTATAATTGATTAATTACTCATCTGTGACTTCAATTTTTGTTTTAAAAAGAAAATAAAAAAATTGGCCCAGCGTTCTATTTTATTTATTTATTTTTAATAACAATTGTGATGTTTGTAATGTGGTGCATTCTGCAGGTAATGACTTGCCGGCCAAGGTCAGATCTTTTTATGAATCTTCCTGCTCTGCGTAAACTCGACAACATGCTTCTTGTGAGTGTTAGATCTTATTCTTTCATGGTATGCTAGTAAAGCAGTAATTGTTAGAGAAACCGCCCTGAGGTTTTTACGTAAACTTCTCTTTATTACAGGAAATTTTAGATAGTTGCAAAGACATGGAGTTTTGGTATGTTGATCAAGGAATTGTAGCCCAAGATGCAGATGGTTCAGCTTCATTTTGCAAAAGAATTCAACGTCAAGAGGATAAGTGGTGGCTCCCTGTACCTCGTGTCCCCCTTTCTGGCCTCAGTGAGAACTCAAGAAAACAGTTGAATCACACAAGAGAATGTGCAAACCAAATACTAAAAGCTTCCATGGCTATCAACAATGGAGCTTTAGCTGAAATGGAAGTTCCTGAGTCATATTTGGAAACCCTTCCTAAGGTATGATTTTGCACATAAATAGAAGTTGATGTCGTTATATGATTAAGACAAAAGCTCAAAGATAGTATATGAAATTGATTATAACAAAGCAAATGAGTTTAATTTTTGATACACAATCGTTATAAAGACTTTTAAACTGTCAACTAATTAGAAGCTGCTTTGGATATAACTAAAGTAATTATTATAAAAATTAATAATCTTATTATATATGGTAATCTATGATTGAATGCCAATCTAAATAACTTTTACATTGTTTGGTGTCTTCTAATTAAATTCCACTTTAAGTTTAACTTTTACATTGTTTGCTGCATATGAACTCGAGGCTAATACACATCTTTCTTCTAAAATATATTTATACCATCTGCAATGGTAAAATCTAGTTAAACTTCTATGGTGATTTAGATGACATTATGATTGTGAATTTTAAATTTGGTTTTCGCAAAGAGTTGTTCCAACATGATGTATTGTGTGAACTTTCAGAATGGAAGAGCTTGCTTGGGGGATTTTATTTACCATTACATCACATCAGAGAAATTCTCTCCAGAGTGCTTGCTTGATTGCCTAGACCTCTCCTCTGAGCATGTTGCACTTGAGATTGCAAACCGTGTGGAAGCCTCAATATATGTGTGGCGTAGAAGAGGTCACTCTAGACCCCCACCTAATCCTAACCGTTCAACTGCAAAGTCATCGTGGGAAATTGTCAAGGACTTCATGGCTGATGGAGATAAGAGAGAACTACTAGCAGAAAGAGCTGAAAATGTTCTACTTTCACTGAAGCAACGGTTTCCGGGTCTAACTCAAACTACCTTGGATACTAGCAAGATCCAGTGCAACAAGGTTCCATTCCATGCTTATATTTCTTTATTTTTAACAATTTTTTGCAACTTTTTCTCTCAAAGTCTTTCATATTGACACATTTCATTCAAACATTCAGGATGTAGGAAAATCCATATTGGAGAGTTACTCAAGAGTTTTGGAGAGCATGGCATTTAACATTGTAGCTCGCATAGATGATTTGCTATATGTGGATGACTTAACTAAACATTCAGATAGGTTTCCATTGGTTCCAATGTCAGTGTCTGTCTCAGGCACTCCTCACAAGGCAGTTGGCAAACCAAGCTTGTCACCTAAACCGCCACTAATTAGTCCTGCAAGGGGAGAGAGATCTCCTTTTCTCATCAACAACATCAACGTTAAACCTCTACGTCGCGGCTTTGGGGTGAGAAGAGTATTGTCAAATTATCTAGGGGCAGAATCCAAAGAAACAAAGACTTTAAGCAATTCAAGTGTGGTGAGTGGTTCAAACCCAAGCAGCAATAAAGCAGAACAGCCAGAACGCCAAAAGAAGTCACATGCCATGAATGGAAAGGCAAAATGACGGGTGGGGTTGTATAGTAAAGCCAGCCATTTCTTTGTATCAATATCATTTACTAGTATCTGTTGTTGGTTGAGTTCTACAAAACTTATGTTGTTAGTTGAGAATGGAAATTCATAGTTGTTGTGTAACTAAAAAACAAATCATAGTTGTTGGGGGGTTGTTATTACAGTCTTTAACTGAAATCTGACACGGATCAGTTCAGGACCATTTGTATCAATTAGAAGATTGTTTGGAGAGTAAGATCAATGATATAATGTATTTACTATTTAAAGGGCATGGTATTGTGTCTGCCTTCAAAATTATGTGTTTTAACTTTGCCTCTGGGTTTCTCTTCCCTATCAATTTGGGAAGAATTTTGAAGCAAATTGAATTGTCACAATAATTAAGAAACCAATATTTTTATCAATTGTGTTATATTTTTTTTGTTGAATGAATGTTACTGATATGCAGTGTGTATCATATCACTTCTTTTCATTATTTAGGTGTTAAAATAGGATATTTAAATTTTAGCAAAATTACTTGTATAAGCTTCGTTGCTTAAGAAAAAGAGAGAAAAAATGCTGATTTGGCAAAGCAACCCACGCGATACCCTTAGTTCTATACTTTTTTTTTTTTTGTGTGTATATATGCATCCTAAAAATAAATTAAAATTGAGATAACAAAACATAAGTACACGTAAGCAAAATTCAATTTAATGTTGAACACACGTTTTCTCTTTATTATAAAAAAATAGAGAACACAAGCAGATTAAACACTAATAAAAATAATAATGAAAAAACCTTATCTTAGAATTGTTCAATTAACAATTCGTGGGCAAGACATTAATCTGTCAAATTAATATTAGACTTAAAGCTAACATCAAAAGTCGTTGTAGTATAGTGGTAAGTATTTCCGCCTGTCACGCGGACGACCCGAGTTCGATCCCCGGCAACGGCGTTGACTTGTTTTTCACGGGTTTCACCATTTTTCACTAGTTCGATCCCTGGTGACGGAGTTTCTATTTTTTTATTATTTTATTTTAAGCCTGGTAATATTACAAGAGGATACAATCTCAAAATTTGAACAGTTTAGCAACACACGTTGATTGGGATTTCAATTGCTTTTCCCAGCAGAAGTGGCTCCCATGTGTCTTGTGTGAAGTACATCCATAAATAATGATGCCATGTTAAGTAACTTTTCTTTTTCATTTCTCTTGTGATTTTTAGCCTCGATGTTCAGTTTCTGTTAGGTGGTGTGGTCAAATACACAAAATAGCTTGGCCAGAAACGTGTTTGCCTCTGCATTGTTATGTTAATTAACACTGCCAATAAGAATGCATGCTGGAATGAAGCCAGAAAACCATTACTAAACGTTGCGGTATACCCCACGGTTACAACTTACAATATTCATCCAACATATTCTTAATAAAACTCAAAGATAATAAAATCGACTTTTAGTAAAATAATTACAAAATATTTTATCAATATTTTCATGCTAATCATTCTATACAATGTTAGTTAAATATTTACCGATAATTATTCTATATATTGGTAAAAATCTTTATAATGATTAAGAAAAATATGAGTTTTTATGACATTTTTGTACTAATATTTAATATATATATATATTTTTATTATTATCACTAAAAATTTAAGAAATGATTCCTAACTTAATTATATACTTTTTAATTATCTTATATCTAGTCAAGGTGAAGACTTATAAGGTGAGGGTTGTCTATTTGTATACTCTTTATTGAGTTTTTTTAATTATTGTATTTTTAGTCGATGTAAAATTTATACTTTTCTCACTATATATACCGTCAAGTCTAGAGTTTAGTATGTGAATAAATGGTGGGTGATTTGATATCATCTTAAAATAATAAGTTATGAGTCCATTTTAACCCTATAAAATAAACTTTTAAGATAAGAATTGTCCTTCACTTATATACTTTTTAAATATCTTATCTCTGATCTATGTGAGATTTAAGTTTTTCCTAATAAAATGAATTAAAGGTTACTTTTATTTTTTATCAATCATTTTCAATAATTACTCTTATAAATATTTTTTTAATGATTATTATTTAATAATCATTAAATTTTTTATTAAATAATAAAATAAAGATAATTAATTTATTATTATTAAATAAGAGTTAATCACCTATATACTGTTAGTGTAAAATTTTTTTATATTAGCAATTAATTATATCTTTTAATTGTGTGTTATGTCACTATAAACACATTTACTTTTAACAGTGACATGACACAATTAAAAGATATAATTGGTTGTTAATGTTAAAAAACTTTACACTGACAGTATATAGATGATTAACTCATTAAATAATTATCGTTAATAATAAATTTTGGTATAATTTCTTAGTAGAAAAATGAATCAATGAAAAATCCTATGTATAGAATCGTTTAATATTATAATGATGAACGAAAGGTTAAGATGAAACCCGGGAAAATTCAAACACAGGGATAAGATATTGGATATATATGCCCGCTTTGATTCAAAAGTAAATCATGCATGAATTGAGAATGTTAAGCAATAAATTAGAGGTGAAATGATAAACTCGCTCTCTCTTGTACAATATTTGATCATATTTTAAACTAATTTTGATATATTAGCACAATAACCATTTACTCAAAAGAAAGGATCAGACATGCGTTATTTATTACTTGTGATAGAACAATATCACATCATTATAATAAGCCAAAAGACTACAAGGTAACCAATATAGAACCTTTTTAATATAAAATATAAAATATAAAATAAAATTAATACAAAGCAAATGATAGTTTTGGCCCCAAGCTGTTGTCGCGATTTGACTGCTGTGGAGTAACTTACCAGATATTTGGGACAAAAAAGGACCCAATATGTGGACAAATGAGTACTAAACTTGTAGGATATATGCCCTACCATGACTTATTTCCATAGATTTAATTAGGGTAGACTACACCGCCCGTGCTTGATCTTCATCCTACAACAGTATCAACTCAGTTATGTTCAATTAAAGGCTGAAGAGGATCTTCTATGGACTTGTAAACTAAACTGCATGGGGTGTGCAGTACTAGAATATAACGGTTAAAATTATTTTTAATTATGTTCAGTGTTAACTTTTTGTCATAATTACATATACATTAATGGCTTGAATGCGTTGCACTTCATTTTATCTAATAGTAAAATTGTTACCGATGCTAACCAATCAGTTTTAGCTAGTCTCACCACCTTAATCAATTTGAATTTACTGTGTTAGTTTTCTGTGAAATGTTAATCTGTTGAATTCTATGTATCTAGCTAGGCAAACCAAAGACGATAAAGAGTGAGGAATAGATACCTGGTATGCAGAATACTGGTTTTTGTTTACTACATAGTGAGATGTTAATAATAAAGGGAACCTGCAGAAACAAAAAATAATAGAGATGCACAATAAGTCATAAGTGATTAAATTAATTGTACGTGTTTCACTTATAATATCTTCTTAGATGACATTTTTAATTCCTTTAGCTACTGGTCCAAGACTGTCCTGCTCCTACCTTGCCACCAATTCCCCCTTGCAGCACTGTTTGAGTCGTTACCATTGGAATCGCCATCATCCTTATCTTTCTTGAACTGCAAAGGTCAAAAATATAAACATTATATTTCAGAGAAAATTTCATACAGGAAATTAAATTTAGAAAAAAATTACGGATGATCAATCAATCAGAAGAGGGAACTTATTTTTTATCCACTTTTTTTTTATAAAAATATTAAGTTTCCTTTTTTATTATTACATAAGTATCACAACTGTTTATGGGGGACGAAATGAAAATTTATTATAGTTAGAGCAATTGAAAACACCAACAGACAAAACAAATGAAAAGGAAATGACAATAGATGAAGTTTGTATAGGATGCCTTTAATAATGAGAAAATTGATAGTAGTAATATTGAGAAGGCTTAAAAAATATATATACGTAAACTAATGTCCTGAAGTTATTCTCGAAAAAGTGATAGATATTTAGGCAGTATACAAGTAAAAAACATTGGATGGTGAAGTATGGATGACTTTATAATATATAGTCCTTAACTTAAGAGAAAGAAGGGCCACAGAAAATAAGGATGAGAATTATGACATGCACTCACAACATGGTGGGGTTGAGTGGTCCTGCTTGTAGGGGAATAATTTTCTTGACCACCATAGTAGATAGAAGAGCTGAAGTAGCTGCTGGGCTCCACTGTCTCATTCTGATAATTGGTATTCTTGCGACTACTGTTTTCACCTTTATTACTCTGAGTTCCTATATAGAGAATCCAAACTGAACCATTACTAAATAAATCCAGACAATATTCAAAGTAAGGTTTAAAGCCATATATGCTCCAACTACGTAGACAACATTTTAGATATGTGCAAGCTGAATTGGAAAAGGTACGTAGCAATATATATATCATGCAATCAAGTCAAAGTAATTAACATTATTTAAATACACGAATATATATAGCAGGAAGTTTTCAAGGAACCTGATGCTCCAAAATTTTTGCTTCCCACTTCTTGCAGTCTTGATTCTCTCCCTCCAACCTTACAAGTTAAGGAAAGATCAGTAACAGGTTCAGTACATGTGACTGATATGTCAATTATAATATTCACCAACGGGTATATACTCCCCTCTTCTCCCTTTATTTATATTTTATTTATTTATCATCAAAGCATTTTACTTTGTTGATCAAAGAGTCTGACTGAAAAAAACTATGCTCTATTCACACACACAAGTCCTAATTAATGTCTGGCATGCTTTACATACTTCATGCATGTTAATTTTAAAACCGGTTGAGAGTCTAAGATGCAAAAAATGTAACAATAATTAGAATTAATTATTAGCTTCTCACTTAACACGAAAAATTACATCCATGAATCAAATACACTATTCAAAATTTCAAATAACTATTTAGAGCAAAAACCGAAATGATCTACCTATTCATGACTCTTCAAGGTAAAAGAACAACTTTAAACCTAGGACAAAACCTGCAATTATTACAGAATGGACACACAACCTTCACTTCAAAAAGATATCTACTAAAAATTGTGATTAGTTTTACCATAATCCCCTCAACAGCTACATGCTGTTATGTTTCCTTAAATGAACATACAACCTTCACTTCCAAAACTACGTATGCAGAAGTGAAGTCAGAGAACAATACATTTAAAAAATTAATAAGTAGCATGGCCTGAGAAAAATAGAGCAAAAAAACATGCATATATATAGATCAAACAGAATTGATCAAGTGTTGAGTAAGCATAGATGGAAAATTGAGAAGGTGATGGTGCATACAGATGATGGAGGTGGAAAGATGGATCCAAAGAGGGTGGATGAAGATGAAGTAGAGGAGGAGGAGTCTCTGGGGCCAAAAAGATGGTCGAAATTCATGGTTGATGAAGAAGACCCTGCTTGCTTTTTGTAGTTAGCCATGTCAACAAAACTTTGATGATTTTGGAGAGAAAAATTACTATGTTGACGAGTATTCCCTGAGGAGCAAAGACACAGAAAAAAAGGGTGTGTTGGATAGAATTTGAAGGGAACTAAAGAGGGAAAGTAATAAGGGGAAAGGCAAGAGAGGAAGTGAAGTTAGTAGATGTAGGAAGGACAGAGGGTTAGTGCTATTTATAAGCACAAAAGTGTATGAATGCTATCATTCCATTGACTACTACAGAAGGAGAAAGCTAGCTAGAAGGATAAGAGAAGTAAGAAAGAAAAGCAGACAAATATTATATGTGATAAGCGATGTGAGCATAAAGGAAAAAAAGAAAAAAGAAAAAAGAAAAAAGAAAAAATAGAAATGAAAAGTGAATATATAATTAATTATTTCATTCACTTTCTACTCATTTACACCAGTTCCCCGATTCATAATTTAATAAGTACATAAATGAATCACTACTGCTAGGGGGGAGTTGGAATAATAAGTACAGTGTCTTAAATTTAAATATTAATTTTATCATTGTAGTTTTGATGAATGAAAAAAAAAAAAAGCTGATGAATGTTATAAACCTTATAAAAGTTTGTTTTACATGAATAAAAAAAATTCCCACCCCTGTGCTTCAAAAATTCTTTACAAAAGATCAATGTTAACAAATGACTACACAATTTTTTTTAATGTATAAATGTTATTAATATGCTTTTTTTTTTACCATTATTCTTAAAGCAATATTATCACCATTATAATTTTTTTAATTAAGTTTAGTTGTTATTTTACTAATAAATTATTATTAATATACTTTTAAAAATAATTATTATAAAAATTAATAAATTTATCATATATAATAATTTGTAATTAAACGATAAAAGTATAACCAAAATGATAGTAATTGAAGTTGAATTTATTTAATTTTAAAAATATATATTTTAATAGAATAAGTAGTTTTCGATTTTTTTAATGTTTTCTAAATTGGTTATCTTAAAAATAAAATTATCTATTTTTAAAAGAAATAATTCTTATTTACTTAAAAATATTTGTTTAAAAATACTATATTTTATAATTTTTTTAAATTAAAACAAACGGCTCATTCTCTTACATTCTGAACACAAGATACATAAATAATTTTTTTATATAAAATAAATGGACAAATCAAAAGCATAAGAAATAAAAGAATAAAAATCATTTATTTGAAGAATTTCAAATTCCTTGAGGTAAAATGCTTTGTTTGGATGAGGAATTTACAAAGAATTTGAAATCCAAGCATTTGTGAAATTCCTTAAAATAGTAAAATTTCAAATTCTCCCAAAAATGGGAGAATTTGAAATTCCTCATATTTATTTTTCTTATTTCACCTATATATTTTATCTTATCTCTTTATTCTTTTAATTATTGGATATTCAAAAATATTTTTAAAATTATTAAATATTATCTTATATTAATTTTTAAAATTATTAAATATTATCTAATATTAATTTTTAAAATTATTAAATATTTAAAAATGAATTAATATTTATTTTTATAAAATTTAATTTAAAAATCTCAACATATAAATATATTTTTAAAATTAGTTTTACTATGATGGAATCAAATTATCATATTCAACCTAACAATTTAAAATTTAAGAAATTTGAATTGACTCATCCAAACAAAATATTTTAAGAATGATAGAAATTGAAATCAAAGTAATTCAAATACCAAGAATTTAAAATTTCTTGAATTTGTAAAATTTCTCATCCAAACACACCCTTAAGTCATTCACCGCTTTTATGAGAAGCTCTCCGACATATAGGATAGGCACAATTGGCTCTAATTTTTTTTTTTTTTTGTTGAAAATGGGTTCCATTTGTTAATATTGATTGATAGATATTTATTGGATAAAGAAAAGGTATAAATATTAATAGAGAGAGTTTAAAATCTATGCATATTGTGAATAAATGTAAAAGCGTTTTAAACTATCAACTAATAGTAATTATCGGTAGAGTATAATATTTAGTAAAATTATAGTAAAAGTTGACAAACTTGTTATCTATAATGATTTTTTTTATCATAAGTTTTTTTTATTTACTTTCCAAAGACTAATTTAAGATGTAATATCGAGACTATTGTTAATTTGACAAATTTTTTTTACATAATAAAGATTAAACACAAATTTTTTATTAAATAAATCATTATCACATGTGAATGTAGAATACCTAACAACTACACAAATTCATCGAATTTGTCATATATATAATGATTTGTACATAATTGAATTAGAAATATTTTACACTTTCAATACATACACCACTATTTTGTAGATAAAACTTAAGTATAATATCGTATACGATATTAATATTATTTTCTAGTTAAAACTGAAATTTCACCTTAATAATATGTATTTATATTTGATGTTAATTTGATTAGTTCAATACATTAAATTTAAATACATATTACCGAAATGATACTTCAAATCTAATTGAAAACGGTATAAAAACAATAGTAATGCATCTAAGTTTTATTCTTTATATAAACTCAAATAATAATAATTTTATAATCAGCTATAGTTAATTTTAAATAAAAGGTGTTGTACTAACCGTACTTCGCACCCGGGTTCCGAGCCCGGATTAACAATACAAAACAACCCCGGGCACGCGCTGCGCGACGTCAACCCGGTATTTGAGCAAATCACACCCGAACCCGAGGATCTCGCCCCAGACCAGATCTGCCCTTCAACTATATCATATCATATTGCAATATATTATACTATAACATATCTTATCTCAGGCCCAAGGCCCAAGGCAAACCTAAACCACCCTAAGGTACGTACATTATATATATGAGACTATTATTCATGCAAACCCTAACTTTGGCATCGGAGTCTCTTTTGCAGGTACCTCCCCCATCTTGGAGCACCAATACATCAAGCAGAGGAGGCTCGCTGATCTTACTGGGCGGATCACCCCTACGGTCAAATTCTGGTAAGAACATTTGGCGCCCACCGTGGGGCCGATCAAGACAACTCTTATCGGCCACCTGCATGGTTTCTACTAGAAGCCACATCAGATGAGCAGCAGACGACGCAAGCCACTCAACTACCATGGACAGCCACGCTGCAACCCTGAGGCGGCTGATCGACCAAGTCGAGAAGATGCGACAACAGCACGACGGTGACCTCCAGAACATGCGTGCCCAGCATGAGAATGACCTCGCAGCAATGCGAACCGCTAATGAAGCAGATCTCGCAGCGTTATGCGCCAGGAATGAGCGCATCCGTGCCCAGCTCCCTCGACATCACTCCAATCAACCTCTGCACGACAGTGACGATCATGAGGAGGAGACACATTCAGCCTCCCAATCCCGAGCGACGACTAAGGCACCGACTTCACGACCTGCCACGCACCAGTCTCATGCATCAACGCATAGAACAGGGTAGGGTACCAGCAGGGCCCCCACCCACGTCTCCGAGGGCCAAGAACCCTTCCGCCGTCATCCCTTTGTGGATGGCATCATGGAGTCCCCGCTATCCCGCGGGTGGAAGCCCCTCCACCTTGACCGCTACGACAGCACCACGGAACCCGACGAGCACATAGACTCGTACACAACTCAAGTAAACCTTTACACTAACAGTGACGCTATATTGTGTAGGGTTTTTCCGACCTCACTCAAGGGACCCGCGCTTCATTGGTACACCTAACTACCAGCCGGATCCATCGACAGCTTTGCCACCTTGGTACGGCGATTCATGGCATAATACGCCACCAGCCGGACTCACCACACAACCTCGGCCGCCTTGGCCAACCTCAGGCAGAACGATGATGAATCTCTGCGAGCTTTCATGGAGCGCTTCTCCAACATCTCGGTTCGGATCCGGAATCTAAACCCGGAGGTCGCCCTGCACGCCATGCTCATGGCACTGAAACCCGGATCGTTCGTCGACAGCCTATGCCGCGACGCCCCCCGCGACATGGATGAGCTGCGTGCCCGCGCCGCCGGCTACATTCAGATGGAAGAGCACTCGGCCTTCCGCGACCAAGTTCACGGGAAGGGCCCCGCAAAACCGGAACAGGGCCACAAAGATAAGGTAAAAGTCAATAATGACAGCCAATTCAAGAAGCCGGCCAGAGCCAACAGAAGCGGGAGGTATGACTTCTACACTCCCCTAAACGCCCCGAGAGTCCACATCCTGGAAGAAGCCAGTAACAATAACCTACTAGCCCTTCCACCACCCAGCCACACCCCCAACAGCGTCGATAAGTCCAAACACTGCCGGTTCCACAGGAACTACGGCCACACCACTGACGAGTGCCGCACGCTCCGGGACCGCATCAAAGAACTCATCCAGGCAGGCCACCTCAGCCACTACATCCAGCTACAGCCAGGTTCCCGAGGTGGCTCTGGAGGCCGGGGACGCGGGAGAGGCCGCGGGTCAGAAGCTCGCACAGACTTACCCACAGGGTCCCAGCAAAATACTAATGGCGCGGTACAGGCCGAAATAAGTCAAGAGACAGACTCAGCCCCCTTGCGGGGATTAATCAACACAATCGCAGGCGGCTTCGCTGGAGGAGGCGCCAACAGCTCGGCCCGGAAAAGACACCTTTGAAGCATCAACTGCGCCCACTCCACCGCCTCGATCTCGCACAAGAGCTCGCCACCAATCTCCTTTTCTGATGAGGACTATGCGGGAATCAGCCCTAACCAAGATGACCCCATGGTCATCGTGGTAGAGATCGCCAACTGGGAAGTAAAAAAGACACTCATCGACCAAGGGAGCTCGACCGACGTCCTGTACTGGCCAACATTCCTCAGGCTCGACGTCCCCCATTCTCTAATCCAGCCACACACAGAGCCCCTAGTTGGCTTTGCCGGCGAACGGGTCCACACCCGCGGATACATGGACCTGCTGACAACCTTCAGAACACCTCCGGATACAAGGAGGATCATGGTTCGATACCTCCTCGTGGAGGCCAACACCTCCTACAACATCATCATCGGGGGGCCGACCCTAAATCACCTCGGTGCGGTGGTATCCACTCCGCACCTCACCATGAAGTTCCCAGGGAATGACGGAAAGATTATCTTCGTCAGAGCAAACCAAAAGACAGCTCGGCAATGCTACGCCGAAAGCCTAAGGATCTTCTCATCCGGCAAGGAAAGCAAGGGGAGTTCCTCCACCGCTCCCCATTAGATTTCGTTCCCCCATTAGTGCAAACGAAACCGTGCACTCTTTTCCCGCCTCAGTCCCAAACTGAGAGGGTTTTTAACGAGGCACGCAGAATC